TAGTGCTTCCATATTCTGAACATATTTCTCACGTTTTGATATACCTGTGATTGATGATGAATTCGATATGATACTTCTCATTGATGAGGAAGATTTCAATTTATCCTTCCTATTCATTTTTGATGATCCTTGACCATGCTATAATTAGTATGATAAGAAATTGTTATCACAATATCATTAAGGGACAAATATGATAATGCAACAATGATCAAGGTAATGAGTTGAGGTATATAAATACAAAGAGCTTGATGAATGAAAGTAAAGAATCTAATTAAGTCTAAATACAAAGAGCCTGATGAATGAAGGTTAAAGAATCTAATTAAGTCGAAATACAAAATGCCTAATGAATGAAGGTAAAGGATGGAAAAGGCTTTCCTTCTAATTAAGTTCATTTTATTTTTTTTTTTTTTTATAAATTTAATAGTTTTAACCTTTTGTAATGGAATTATTATTTTGCCTATAAAATTATTCCAATTACGCTGAACATGAGAATGTTTTTTTTTTTTATCTCAATTCATTAAGTTTTCCTCTTTTCTTCCTTTTTCCTTCCTTTTGATTTTTTAAATAAAATTCAATGAACTTAAAATTACCTGAGGGATAGCAGTAGTTTTTGATGTAGAAGCTAAATTTTGATGGCTGAAACTTTTCCGCACTAACAATTGGAAGGGACGAGTAGGTATAGCTGGTTCAGATGGTGCATAACCTAAAAATAATGAACAGAATATTGTTTCATTAACGATTCATAATTAAACATTTACGTAGGATTACGTGGAATTTACTTTTGTAAGTTATCATGATTTTGATAATGGACAAATGAAAATTAGTAAAAATTCTAGAATATAGTTGGTTATTTAGTAGTCTTATGTTCGACAGAACCTTTATCAATAATCATATCACATCAATCGGAATTATTTATATTTTTGATATACTTATAAGGATTAATCTTTACTGATAATATGAAGCAGTTGTAATTATTGGTAAAAGATTTTTTGGAAATTTGAAATTCAGGATGAAACATACCATCGTAATAATTTCCGGATTTTGATGGTTTAATAGGTAAATCATTTGGATTTGTAACTTTTCTGCTTAGTGAAATATTGTTTGCCATAAAGATTCCATTCGAACTGTAAGATTTTGTTTTATGCAAACCTGAATATCTCACTGAATTGCTTCCTTCTATTATTTCATCATTCAGGTGAATGTTATTCCAATTTATTGATTTCAAATGAATTTGTATGAAATTACTTATCACAATCCACATTGATAAGAATATCATTCTATGCATATACTTCATTGCATTGAAGAAAAAAAAATAATTCCTCACCATTTCCAATTATATATTCTATTTCCGGTTATATATTATATTTTCCAATTATATATTATATTTTTAATTATCCATTTTCAATATATAATATGTATAGTTTTCAATTATATATTCTATTTCCGGTTATATATTATATTTTCTAATTATATATTATTAATTATCCATTTTCAATATATAATATATATAATTTCCAATTATATATTATATTTCCGGTTCTTGCTTTTCCGGAAATTTTATTTAAATGAATTCCTAGTAGTTTAAAGTACAGGATAATGTGATACCTTATGCTATTATACTCTTTACCTTCATTTTTATAAATTATACTTATCTCATTTGTGACAATGAAACTTTATCCATTCCTAAAAATTGCTATGTATTTCAAAAGACAAATCTTTCGATACAATTGTTCTGATCAAATTTCTCATTTGTGAAATAAAGAAGGATAAGAACGAAATGATAATTCTTTCTTTCTTTTTTTTTTTTCAGATTTATTTAAGACAAACCCATTTTCGGTAAAATTTTCTTCACTGAGCTCCTTTTTGATACCATTGCTGATATTTACAGTATCACTTCTATTTTTATGAATCGTATCGCTATCGTTGTTTGTTGTATGGTATAAATTGTTATCTAATTGTAATTTTTCCAAATGAATTCGATCCACTGAATGTGAAGACTATAAAGTGTTTAATATTAATTTTTAAAAAATTATTGAAATTCTTTGACAAAAATTAACTGACATTGCTAATTTTATCTGATAATATCGGAAGTTACCGCATGAATATGCAAATTGAGACAATATTAATTTTAAAGTTAAATATGCAATAATTACAGGTAACATTTTTAATTTAATTTGAAATGATCGATTTCAATAAAATTAAAACTCGAATAACCTAAAGAGTGTTCAGGCTAAAAGAAAAAATTAATTACAGGGATATTTCAATCGTTAATTCTATCAAAACGAAATTTGTCCAATTTTTTAGATTATGAAATTTTTTTTTTTTTTGAAAAATTATAAATTAATTTACCGGATCATCGTCCCAGCATTTTTCATGCATACCATTTCCTGAATATATAGTTTTTTTTTTTTTTTGCAAGAAATATTCTTTAATTATTTAAAATAATTACCTCATACTGATCTTAAGATGTGAACCAAAAAGTAAAACTGATGAATACTTTTTTTGAATGTTAGCAGTAATTAAATGTAGATAATAATGGAGCGAATAACGTAATAAAACTGATCAAATCCTTTTTTTTTCTTTTGATTGTATTTTTTCTTTTCATATTTTGTTTTGATCTGATAATAATTCTTTTAGATATGTAATATAGGGTGAAATTCCGCATTTCATTAAATTACGCTTAATGATCTTTGCTTGCCAATCATTAAATTACGCCTACTGATCTTTGATTACCAATCATTAAATTACGCCTACTGATCTTTGATTACCAGTCATTAAATTACGCCTACTGATCTTTGATTACCAATCATTAAATTACGCCTACTGATCTTTGATTACCAGTCATTAAATTACGCTTACTGATCTTTTATTACCAATCATTACGCTTAATGATCTTTGCTTACCAATCATTAAATTATGCCTACTGATCTTTGATTAACAATTATTAAATTACGCTTATTGATCTTTGATTGACAATTATTAAATGCTCATTAATCTTTGATTATCAATCATTAAATTACGCTTATTGATCTTTGATTACCAATCATTATAAATGACAAAATCAGTTGCGCACTTAATCATTGTAATTTTATCTAAAATATTTATGAATCTAACAAGATAAATGATAATCAATGCTTATATAAGTCATTTACATAGCTAATCGCACCATGTATAGCTAAAATTAGTTACTCTGAGCTTCAGGTTAAATGAATTACCAAGCAGATTCTAAGTGACCAAGTAGATTCTAGATGGTTAAGGAGATTGATTTTTAAGAAGAAATTAGTAATTTTACTGATTATATCAGTCTTAAGTTCCATAGAAAATCCCTCAAAGTAATCCTTCTAAAAATGGCAAATTGTTTTTGTTAGTCGAAAAAGCAAAATTATAATATTCAAATTATTTCGTTTTTTAGAAGAATTGGAAAGCACAAGGATTGGCAAGGATTGACAACATTAAAAGTGACATTTGGACAAATTCATTTAATAAATTCAATTCATTTGCTCAATTAATAAATTCCTTTTCTGTTGTTTGTGAAAAAAAAAAAAAAAATCAATTAAAATTTGTTTTGGATTGCCTAAGGAAAAAATGGATAAAGGAATTTTTCAATTTTTCAAAAGTTCGACTTTTAGAATTTTTCAAAAAAAAGAAAAGTTGAAAGAAAATAAAGAAGCCTTGTACTTTATCAATTTTATTTCACGCAAAATTTTTCGACATTTTTTATTTCCAATAGAAAAAAGATTAATTATTTCTTCCTTTCTTTAAATTTTAAAAACAAAACAGACGAAAGGTAAAAGAAAAATTATTTTCAATAAAGTAAGCAAACTACGAGAAAAAAAATTGACGAAGTGACCACTGACCATTATGTTTGTAACGATTGCAATCATCAGAATATGGCCTTTCAATCATTGATATTTTCTAAAAATTGAGGAAATAAATTATTAACATAATTGATATGCTAGCAATATGGATGAATTAATAGAAATGAAATATTTTTTGAAATTGATTCTTGATTTCAATTTTAAGATCATAGAATTTTAATATTTAATTTAGTTTAAGTATGCAAATAAAAAGTAAAATTAAATTTAACTTTTATTCCTCTAATAATATAATATTTGAATAAAGTTAAAATATGGATCAAATTTTAAAAAAAACAAAAACTTTTTTCAGGAACTAAACAACACTTTGAATAATCAATAAACTTTTCTGATTGAAATTAAAAAAATGACATTATTAGTATTCGTTGTTTTAATTTAGTTTAAGGAAGGAACTTACAGTATCATTTCCAGGTATGTTCACATTTTTTGTTTCTACTAACATCTCATTGAAATTTTCTTTCCATGGAATATCATCATTACTATCAACAATTTCTGCTAATGCATTTTCCGAAGTTGGAACTGAGGAAGATGATTGTTTTCCCAGCGAACTAACTGATGGCCATTTTCTTCTACAGTTAAAATTTTATATTTTATTTTAATTTTAAAATTTTATTTAATATATTTAGTTTTAATTTTAAATTTTTTTTATACTCAGTTTTTTTTTACACTTAGTTTTAAATTTCTTATTTAATTTTAAACTCTTTAGTTTTATACTTAATTTTAAATTTTATACTTAATTTTAAAAATTTTATACTCAATTTTTTTAATTTGAATTCAGTTTTAGTTAAAATTGTTTATTTCATTGTAATTCCAATGAAAAGAAATATAATAGAGTAACCTGGAAAGAATACTGCTTGATCCACTACTACCACTCATGATCCATTCATAATCTAAATTATCCATTTTCAACGATTGCCATCCATCTCTGTTTATCGAAATACCGGTACCAACCGGGGTAGCATATTCGATCAATCCATCAGGACGTATCTTTGGCAATGTTTTACGCGATATTCTTGCCTTTATTATCAATTATTTTAAAAATTTAAATTGAAATTCAGAGTGATTCATTTATTTAAATTTAAATTATTTTCTTAAATTATTTATTTTTCTATTTTCTTTAAATTTAAATTATTTTCTATTTTCTATTGTCTAATTTTCTTATTTTTTTTATTTTCTCTAGTTATTTAAAAGTATTCGATATTTTCAGTGTATCTTTTCATCGTTTATAATTTTGCTTTATCAATAAATAGCATGATATATTATCAATAAATAGTACTTTATCAATAAATAGTATGAGCAAATTTCACAAAGAAATGTTATGAGAACATTTCAATTAAAAGATTAAAATCAAGAAATTAATTAGAATGGATGATATTAATCTTTTAACTTATAAAACAGATAGATTATCATAAATAACCATTCAATATTATCACAAGTTAATCCAGAAAAAAAACAAAAGAGATTTAAAAGAAAATATTTTTGAGATAAAAATTAAGAAATTTGAAATAATTGAAAGCAAACTTTTATTTAATAATTATTTTTAATTTAACTTTTAAGAGCTTTTTATGCAAATACTTTCTATGCAAATATATTCGCATATACTGATAAGAAGAAATGTCACATTAAATGATAAGTTTATCATGCAAATTAGATAGTTATTGGAAAAAAAATTTTTGATTACTAAATTTTTAAGTTCTTTTGTGGAAAAAAAAAAAACGGATAATAATGAAAAAAAAAAAAGATAACCTTAACAGCATTTAAAAGTCCATAAGCTCGATGTTTTTGTTCCAAATTTGATACTGATTTTAGCAAACCTTTAATCGATTTACTTGATAAATGCGCAAAAACAGCAAATAATTCGAATGCAGCCAATCTATAAGGAAAATTTGAATAAATTAAAATGAAATACTTTACTTATATCCAGTATACCTTAAATGAAATAACAAATTAATTGAAACTTTTTTGAATGAATTAACAAAAAAAAAAAATGCACTTCAATTACTTGCTATCGAAAAATTTTTGCATAAAAGTTCCCATTAATTAAGCTAAATAAGTAATTATTCACTTTGCATACCTAAAATAACTCCACAATTTAATTCTTTTTTCTGTTGGAGAGGGTGGGGTAATTATTTCAAAATTTGACTTTTACATTTTACATTGTTTTACAGAAAATATTTTAAATGATAAAATCTAAACTATATGATTGATTACTTCTGATAATATTACCAAAAAATACTGATAACAAATACCTAACACGTCTTTTTTGATCAGCAAGCAATGGTACGACAATATCAGCAATTGCTTTTAAATTAATCATACGTGAATCAAATGTTAGCAATGCGGCCGTCATAATATTTAAAATCTGAAAAGGTATAATTTACATAAAGGTAAATAAGCAAATGATAAAAAGATGTATTAGATGATAGCATTAATGAACATAAAATGTTTGATTGTTTACACTTTCTAAAAAAGAAAAAAAACAATAAACAAAAGTAATGAATAGCCAACATGCAAAGTAAAGAATAAAATTGAAACTAAAAATTTTAACAAAA